GTCTGGTCTCGCATCCGATGCACGTCTTCCGCATCTAGAGCGAGGCGGCACCGCAGCGAGCGCATCTTGGACGCGTCTCCCATCGCCGCCGCCGCCGAGTAGCCAGACACGCTGCCCCGGCCCCGGCCGCGCCCGCTGCTGCCGACACGCGTCGCGTTGCCCGCCTTCTCTCCGGTCGCCTAGTGGGAGGGGAGGGGGGGGGAGTCCGCACCGCACCTCTCCTCCGCGACGAGCGCGCCGCGCCGGGGCGGTTCCCCGCCCGGGCGGTCCCCCGCCGCCCGCCTGCCGTTCCCCCTTGTAGTGGATCAGCTGCGCGTGCATCGTGTCCATGTGCCACGCCGCTGCGGCGGCCGCCGAGTCAACCACCCAGCCAGACGGCCGCTTCGCCGCCTGGTTCTGGGCGAGGCAGATGGCCTGCGCGAGGCGGGCGCGGCGGGGGCGGCGGTCGAGGTGCGGCGGCGCAGGCGGCGAGGGAGGCGGTGGACGCGGAGAGACGGAGACGTGAGGAGGCGGCGAGCGAGGCGGCGAGGGTGGCGGTGGGGGCGCGGAGTCGTCGCCGGCGTCAGAGGACTCCACCCGCGAAGCGCCGGGCCGTCCCGCCCACACAGCAGGGGCCGGCGCACCCAGAAGACGGCCGAGGCGGTCTCACACTGCGCGGCGGCGACGCGGTCGCGCCGGATCTCCTGCATGGCGCGCTCGAGGTCGGCGCGCGCGGCGCACCGCTCGTCCCAGTTGAGGTACCGTCGCGCGAGGCCGCCCTAGGGCAAACGGAGCGCCGGTGAGGGGCGGCGGCGCGCTGGGCTCGGGCGGCGCCGAGTGGCAGAGGCGGCTCCACGCGCTCGCCTGCAACTTTGCGAGGTGCATGTCGGTCTGCGTCTCGCGCGTGGTGCACCAGCGCTCGCTCAGCTCGCGCTCCTCCTCCTCCTCCGACACCGCCCACGACTCCACCTTCTCTGGTGGCTGCGGCTCGGCGGGGTTGCTGTGGCTGGACGAAGCGGAAGCAGAGACGACCGTGCCACTGCAGCCGGCCGACGACGCAGAGACGCTCACGACGGTGGCGACCGCGGCGGGCGCGTCGGGGTCGGGCGCGAACTGCAGCCCCTCCTCGTCGCCGGAGTCCGAGTCGGACATGGCGCAACAAAAAAAGAATTGCCCGCTCGCGCAAAAAAAGAATTTCGCGGCCAGGTGTGCACACGCACGCACAGCCTTGGGCTTTCTTTCTTTCTTTCGCACAGCTACTGCCGTACACGCACACCCTCGCGGCCGAGAGCTCTGGTCTTATCTCGCTACCCAACACGGCCAAAAGATATCCCTAAATAAATAAATAGCCAGGAGAGATGGGCGAAAAAAGAAAACAGACAATCCAAGGGAGGCCCGGCAGCAAGCACCGCGCGCGGAATTCTTTTTCGGCGGCTTAGCTATAACGTGCATTCCCGAGGAGGCCTCTGCTGACAGGGTTTGGATTGCGATTTTTGATAGGAGCTAGAGGCAGGAGGGCGACTACCCGCAGGCTTAGCGGAAGGCCGCGCGCTCATGTTAAACATTAAAACAATTCCCTGGTCCTATCGCCAAAAGGCCCTGCTCCTCCTCTTGTCTGGCAGCAATCGCAAGCTGCGGCACAGGCCGCGTTGGCGCAGAGGAGGCGGCAAGCCTCAACGCGCCTATATGGCTCCTACATCTTCACACGGCAATCGCAGAGCAGATTGTGAATGAGCTTGCCTGTGGCGGGGGTGGGCGGGTGCACGGAGCTAAGTGCCTCGCCGTCCTCGCGGGAGTCGCTTAGGCGGCTCCCGTGGTGTACCTGTGTTAGTGCCAGTGCGCGCCGGGAGTTTGCGCCCGTAAAATTCTTTTCGCCAGCGCGGCGGAGCGTGCTTGCCTCCCGCATGTTCTCGTCCTCCCACCTGCACGTCCCGGGCGGCGTCGAGGTTGAGGTGCACCCCGTGGTGCTCTTCAGCGTGGTCGATCACTACAGCCGGCGGGAGGAGGGGCAGGGGCGCGTCATTGGCACGCTGCTTGGGACAGGCGCGCCCGTTGCCCCGCCCGCCCCGCGGGCTCCATCCCCTCTGCAGACGGCCGCGGCGGCCTTCGCCCTGCCCCGCGCGGCGCGACCGCGGCCCCTGCTGGTGTCGCAGTGACGGGCAACAAGGTTGAGATCTTCTCGTGCTTTCCGGTGCCACACACGGAGAGCGAGGAGCAGGTGGCGGTCAACACGGACTTCCACGCGACGATGCTCTCGCTCTACCAGCGGGTTCAGCCCAGCCACCAGGCGCGTCCGGCGGCGAGCCACGCCCAAGGGGGGGGGGTACGGCCGGCCCTCCGACCTCCTCTGACTGCCGCGCGGCCGCGGCCGCAGGTGGTCGGCTGGTACTCGACGGGGGACGGGGTGAGCGACTCTTCGCTGCTGTTCCACGACTTTTACGGGCAGGACGTCGAGCGGCCCGTCCACCTCCTCGTCGACCTCGGCCTCGGCACGCGGCGCATGAGCTGCAAGGCCTACGTCTCCAAGCAGCTCTCGCTGGGCGGAGCGACGCTCGGCACGTCCTTTGAGGAGGTGCGTGTACTCGCGGGGAGAGGAGAGGAGGAGGAGAGGAAGAGGGGGGGGGGGGGGGGGGGGGGGGTCGCCTCTGTCGCCTCGATGAGAAAACCTGTTCAGTTTTCCGCAATCAGCGAAAGTTTTCAGAGGTGAAAAAACCACAAGACGCGCCCCCCCGGCGCCCGGCGTGGCCAGCCGGCACCAACTTGATTCCCGGATGCGCCGTCTCTGGGGGGAGGCGGGGTTCCCCGGAGGCACCATGCGCCGCGCCGCAGTGCGGAAACGGAGCTCCGGCGCTCAGAGCACCGACTTCCCGAATGGTTACGGTTGGTTAGAGGGCAGATTTGGAGAGATCTCGAGGAGTACATGCAGATAGACCCTCCAATCATAAGAACTGAGCCCTGGCTGTCAGGCTGTCAGGTGCTGTCAGGTGATCTGTCGGGCTGTCGGGGCAGCTGTCAGGCACTGTCAGGTGCCTCTGTCAGACCAGCTGTCGGGTGCTGTCAGTGCTGTCGGGTGCTGTCGGGTGCGTGTCTGACAGTCGAGGGGCTCTGTAGCTGTCGGGTGCTGTCAGAGCTGTCGGGTGTTGCTGTCAGACGCTGTCGGAGCTGTCAGAGCTGTCAGGCTGCTGCTGCTGTCAGACGTTGGGCTGTTGCTGTCAGGTGCTGTCAGGTGGTGCTGTCGGGGTGCTGTCAGGCTCTGACACACACCAGCCACACTTATGACACTATCAAGAGGAGACCAGCAGGACTCTACTGCACACATACTCTAGTCTCTACTCTGCCTCCGGTCCCACCATCTTCTTCATGGTGGACGTCACCATCTTCTTGTCTGCCGCACTGAGAGAATAGCAGAGAGGCAGACTGGAGTGCTTCTTCAGGTACACCTTGCTGATGATCTGGTAGTTGCTGGTCCAGCGGAAGGCCTCCCCATCGTTGTCGCTCGTCAGCTTGTAGTACTTGCACGCTCTGTTCTGGTAGCGCGGGCCGTCTACCACCCTCCCGCCCACACCCACCGGCTTCCCTCTCGCAGGGGGTGAGGAAGCTCGACCGCCACTACGGCTACTACCTCTGCGCCTTGTGCAGCACGAAGAAGGGCGCGCTCTTCGGGGAGACTGGCACGATCGGCTCGAACTGCTCCAACGTGCTGCGCCACACCGCGGGCGAGTCGCACCTCCGCGCGTGGCTCGCCGACCTGCCGGTGGACGCGGAGAAGCCGACGCTCGCCAAGCTGCAAACGTGCGTTCTCCTCGCCGTGTGTCCATCAATACCCACGGCGGGACACTCACCCTCCTCTCGCGGCGGTCGCAGGTCGATCGCGCACAAGTGGCTGGGCAGCGCCCGCTCACAGCGCACCACGCAGACCAAGGTGCGGGTGCAGCGCAAGGCGCAGAAGATTGCGACCAGCGCGGCGGTCGACGCCGCTGTGGCCGCTGGCCGGGCGGCGGCGGGGGCGCTGACGCCGGTGACGCCGGCGGCTACGCAGCTGCCCCCCTCCTACGGCGTGATCACGCCGGCAGCGGCGGCCGCCTGGGGAGCGCAGATGGCGGCGCAGGCGCAGGCGGCGGCGGCACAGACGGCGGCGGCCACCCCCACCCAGACGCCGTAGGCATATGGCTGTAGGGCCCCAGAAGGCTAGCTGGTAGCTTCATTTGTAGTAGCACAGCCGCGGGTCCGCAGAGGTGGGGCGGGAGGGTTGAGAGAGAGACCCTAGGAGAGACCCATGACCATCCCATGACTACATGTCTTTGCATGTAATAGTTTTGTTATACCCTCATGGGGCACAAGAAAGAGGCTGCACGGCCTGTGTATGGTCTGTGCTGCTGTCGGGCTGGTCGGGCTGTCGGGCTGTCAGCGCTGCTGTCAGGCCACTGTGTGCTGTCGGGCTGTCGGGCAGCTGTCAGGCTGTCACGTTAGGGCCTGACAGCGACGGGACGCCTCTGATGTCAGACTCTGCTGTCAGGCTGTCAGATACGTGCTGTCAGGCTGTCAGAGAAGTGCTGTCAACGCTGTCAGGCTGTCGGGCACTGTCAGGCGCTGTCCGGGGTTTGCTGTCAGGCTGTCAGACCAGGGCTCAGCATAAGAAAACTCCGACCTGATCGGTCGTACTGACCGCCGACAGATCACTCCAGACACGAGACAGCAGACAGGCCGACGTCTGCACGCGGCCGGCCGGGCGAGAGGCTTGACACGATCCGACCCTGCGACCCTGATGCTGATGCTCTAGCTATCAGACATGCGCGCTGACTGCTGCCACAATGTGCGACCGGTGCTGACCCACTTGGCGGCCTTCCCGGTCAGTGGTGAGGCGCAGTTTCAGAGCTGTCAATCGGCGCGATGCCGCACTGGTCCCACATTGGTGACACAAGACCACCACGTTTGCCGGTCCAAGAGAGAGGCACCGGCGCTGTCCTGAGAAGGTGCATGGTCCCTCTTGACTGCCCATGCGCGCGAGGCTGTGTAGGCATAGCCTCGAGAGTGCCAGCAGCTGATCCGAGGCAGTTTGTGACGCGCATTGCGTCAGAAGCGTGCACGCGCTGGAAGGACACCTTCCTACTGGCCGTACGATCAGGTCGTCACTGAATGCCGAAGACTAAGGCCGCGAGCTATGCAGGCGGTCAGTTGAGCAGCATGGCACGGTCAGCAGCGCCGAAAGGATGTCGCAAGGCGTGATAGCATGGCCGCAAGTATGGCCGCAAGTACCAACGCCGTATTCCCATGAAAAAGTAAAAAATCGCGCGCGAAAAAGACATGAAAACAAGCAAAAAAACGCGAAAAAGAAAAATGCCAGGAAAATCGGTGTGAGAGCTCGGCGTGAGAGCTCGTGAAAGGGCTTTGCACGGCGATCGATGAGTATGCTCCTCTTCGCCTCCTGGTCGGCTGCTTCCTTCGACCCCCCGTGCTCGTGCTTCTCCATGTGCACCACACGCGAAGCAAACGAGTTTTTCTCCATCCTCCCCGCCTCCTGTGAGAGTGTAACGAGTCCTTGGTACGGCTATGTACAAGCAGTCTACGGTCCAACGGTACCGCTGCCTTTCGATCTGCACTCGCTGGAGTACTGGTGGCACAACAACGAGGAGTGGCGGCGGCGCCACCCGTCGACGGAGTGGCCCATGGCGGCCTGCAACGTGACAGCACGCAACAAAGGCCCAGTGGCAGGCCTGCCGGCGGCCGGCGCTCGTTCGACTCCACAGTGTGGCATAGACTCGAGTAGGTGTGCGCGGTGGCAGTGGGCCCAGCGGAACATCAGCGCAAGGCATACGTCGCCCCCCAGCATCTCTCTCCTGGCCCACTTCCCGAGCCGCGGCTGGCGCACGACGGCGGGCGCGCTCGTCGTGCCCATGAGCCGAGAACCGACGGCGTCGCGCAGCTGGGTGGAGGTGATCCGATACCAAAAGGCGGACGAAGGGCCGAAATCGAGGTATGGCTTTTGGTTCTTTCCCGCTCGAGGCTCGGGCGTATACCTTTACACCGGCCTCACCTGGCAGGCGCACTCGAAGAAGTGGCTTCTGAGCCTCTCCAACCCCAAATCTCTCTCTCTGCCTTTCTCGGAGGCGCTGGAGCCGCGAGAAAGAACGCGTCTGAACGCAAGCTATCAGGAGTTGATGCGAGACCGCTCGCTGCTGGCCAAGAAACTGAAGGCGACAGCTTCCAACCACGGCAATCCGAACTCAGTCCGCGATTTTCATACCCATTCATTCTCGGAGGTTGGCAACTACAGCGCCGAGATCGCGGCGAGCGTTGTGGCGCTGCGCTCAGTGGTGGGAACTAACGGCGGGAATGAGATTTTCCCGTTTTTAGCGTACAAGCTGGGCATCGACACCGTCCAAGTCGAGTCGAATCGCCAGTTTGGCGCGGAAATCATTATGACGTCGCGACAGAGCATGGAGGCCCCACATCTCAACGGGTCGGGAGGGGGCCCGGGCCTCTCTCCCACGTGCATCCGCGGGCTACGCGCCGGTTGGAATGCCTCGAGGCCATGCCACTGTGACTTGGACGTGCCGACGCTGACATGTCTCCTGTGACTGTGAGGCCCCGGGGGTAGGGGGAGGGGGATACGCGCATCCGGGAATCAAGTTGGTGCCGGCAGGTCAGCGAGGAGTCGCGAGGGCGGTCTGGACTCTGGTATCCATGAACATGTGAATACTACTTCTGTCTGTAGCTCTGTACTCCATGAACATGTGAATAATGTATTCAAATACAAGTGAGAAATACCCGAGCGCGCGCGTCCACATGCCGCCCCTACTGGCGCCAAGCAGTCCAAGGCCCGCGGAACTGCGCTCTGGCCTCTGCGGGGCGCGCACCGGGCTGCTCAAAATACGGGAAGATCGCGCACATAAAGCCGTACCGCTTGACCGTGCGAGATTTTGAAAACCAATGTGACGGTGCGTTGTCGTGCGTTCGCTGGGCTATGTTTCGGCGATAAGCGGCGAGTGGCGCAAGCACTCGCTCGGCGGTATAGGGGAAACATATTTATTTGTTAGGAGTGTAGTCCCGACCATGCGGAATCAAGTGTACTCCAGTATTGCAATAGGGGGGGGGGGGGGGGGGGCAAGCCCACCCCGGGGGGGGGGGGGACCCCCCCCGGCCCGGGGGGGGGGGGGGGGGGGACTTCCACAGCAGTCACGCGCGATGGCCAACTGCGGCCGCTGCCTCACGTTAGTGGCCGCATCTGCCTGCCCGACGCGCGAGGCCATCGACCTGCTCCCCACCTGCGATATCGTTCGTCTGCGGGGCGAGCTCTGCGAAGCCGATGGGGAGTGCGGTACCTCGCGAACCGCAAACAACTGCGGCGAGACCTCGGACGTGTACCGGCTTTGCGCGTCGGACGAGCCGCTGCCTCCGGCACCGCCGCCCGCGCCGCCGGCCTCACCGCCCGCGCCGCCTGCGATTCCGCTCCCGCCCACGCCACCTCTGCGAGCGCTTGCGGCGTGTGAGGCGCCATGCGCCGCGGGCAGCGGCTGCGGCACCTGCCTCGACGCGGTCGTGCCCAAGTTTTGCCCGCCCGAGTCGGAGATTGCGCTGCTCCCAAAGTGCAAGGCCGGCGGTGTTGTGCCGGGCGGTCTGTGCGAGGCAGACGGTGTGGTTGGCCCGCCCGCCCGCCCGCCTGCAGCGGACGGGCGCACTGAGGGCGGACCCATGCCTGCCGCAGGCGAGTGCGGCACCGACCCGACGCTCAACACCTGCCACGGCCTTGAGGGCCTAGAAGCGGAAGATCTTTGTATTCCAGCTAGAGCTCGGGAAGACGCGTGCTCAGCTGTATTCAGCCGCGATGTCCGCGCATTCACGACGCAGGATGGCGGGACGTCTACAAGCGCAGAGCTTGCGCGCCGGCGGAGCAGAGCAGCGCCTCGTCGGGGAAAGGCGCCGCCTTCACGCTCGGGCTGCTGCTCGGTGGGGCCGCCCTCGCAGCGGTCGCCGTGGTCCTCGCCGCCTACACGTACCGCAGCAGCCGCCGCTCGAAGAGCAGGAGTGCCGTGGCGGGCCGCTCAGCGCGCGAAATTCAGGGAAGGGCAGGCGCGTCGCCCGGCCCCGAGCATCTCGTGGCGATCAGCTCGCTTTGATCTCGGACGTCGGGGAGAGGCTCAAAAACGCCGCGCCCGCGCGCGGCGGATCGCCCGTCGTGTCTCCGTCGGAATGTGTGATGCGTTGCAAACACGCTACATGAGCATTGACATACCACATCTCACTGCGAGTCCTGCGATACATGCATGCACATACTATTATTACCTTATATACATAGATAGCTGCGTGTGACACACGGTGGGCGCGCCCACGCCACAGACTCTCAGTGTTGCTTCAGCCCTCGGCCCGCTCGACCCAGGAGGCGGGGTGCAGCCCGACCTTGCCCGTCTCCACATCTCGCACCGTGTAGTATGAGCCCTCGCCCACCGTGCGCTCCTCGAGCACCTCGACCGCGGACCCTGGTTTCGAGCCTGTCAGCATCGCGTGGCCGACGAGGCTCGGATCGCATCGGGTGACAATGCCGTCCCACAGCACGGGTGCCGCGCGCAGGCGGGCGAGCGTCTCCTCCGTCTCAGCCGTAGCTTTGCGTTTGGCCTCGACCCGCATCCGCACCAGCTCGTGATCCACACGCCGCCGATCCTCAGCCTCCTGACTTTGAATGAGGTACAAGGCGCCGGCGCTCGCAGCGCTGGCAGCGCTGAGGCCGAGGTAGAGGGACCCGCTCGTGTGCGCAGCAGCGAGTCGGCTCCACATTTCGCGTGCTTGGTGGGGAGTGGAGTCTGGTGCGGTGTGATTTCTTCTCAATACAGGGCACTGAACTTGGGAGTGCTTGCTTGGGAGTGTAGAAAAGAATTAGAAGTACCGAAAGTGGAATCCCGATTCCTTTGCTTGTTGATTGCGGCGCCTCCTCTCACGGTAGCCGGCCGAAATGCTCGTTCTTCTCGCCGCTCCTTTGGCGCTGCGCGGCGATCGGCTCGTCGCGACCCCGCTCGCGCATGTGCGCCCTCCTCTCCTCGCTCGGATGGCGACGCCGTTCGGGCCGGACTCACTCGCCGACGCGGCCATAGCGCAGCCGTCGCTCAGTGAGGCGGAAGGGTGGAGCATGAGCAGTCTCTTCGGCGGCGGACTGAACAGCGTGGAGAGCGTGCGCCTCGCGGCCGATGGCGCCTCAGCAGTCGTCCACGACTCAATGGGAGTCGACCACTCGATCGCCGTCTTCCCCGACTCGGTTCCGATGCTCCTCGATCGCTTCCAGCAGGCGCGGAGAGCCGCAGCTTCCCGCGACCGGATCCCCGCAGCCAGCACCGCCCACACGGCACCGCACCTCGGCGATCACGGCCACGCCGCCCTCCCCCCCCCGCCGCACTCAGGCGGGAGTGCCCTATGAGCTCGCTCCGGAGCCTGGCCCGTCTGCAATCGACATCGCCTCGCTCGTGCTCATGCTCTCGCCCTTCCTCGTCCTCCTGCTCGCCCTGCTCGCCCTGATCGCGCGCGCCGACGCCGGCCTCTTCGACGCGGCGGGTGGCCGGAAGGCGCCACCTCCACCACCTCCACCACCTCCCCCACCTCCACCACCTCCACCACCACCACTACTCCTACCCTCAAGCCGACGCCGCCGCCTCTTGCCACCGCCTCGTATCATCTCCTGAGTCCGACACCTCCTGGAACCCTCCTGGACACGTCCTGGACGCCTCCTGCAGGGGTCTCGCCTCACCCTCGAGCCCGACACGGGCGTTTCCTTCTCCGACGTCGCGGGATGTGACGGCTCGCGCAGGGAGCTGTCGGAGCTGGTCGACTTTCTCAAGGACCCGGACAAGTTCTCAGCCGTCGGCGCCAGGTGTTGTTTGCCAAGAACCCACCTGCAGCTGCACCTGCCCCAGCAGCTATACGAAGACCCAATGTCTCCCCTGCAGCAGCGCTTGTGGCCATAATTCCAGCTTCCAATGCACCTCCAGCAGCACCGGCTCCTACGTCGTGCACATAGGATCCCGCGCGGCGCTATCATGGAGGGCCCTCCCGGCACCGGCAAGACCCTCCTCGCGCGCGCGGTGGCGGGAGAGGCGGGCGTCCCCTCCGTCTCGTCCCCTACCGCCACGGGATCGAACCCACACTGGATTCGAGACTCTGGAGGTATGGTACGCTAGGCGGGCGTCCCCTTCGTCTCCGCCTCGGGCTCCGAGTTCGTCGAGATGTTTGTCGGCGTGGGGGCCGCCAGGGTGCGGTCCCTCTTCGCTGAGGCGCAGCACGCGCCGTGCATCGTCTAACCCTAACCCTAACCCTAACCCTAACCCTAACCCTGACCCTGACCCTCCTTAGCACCCCGATCCTGACCCTGATCCTGACCCTGATCCTGACCCTGACCCTAGGCGCGGCAGCACGCGCCGTGCATCGTCTTCATCGACGAGATCGACGCCGTCGGCAAGACCCGCGACTCGAGCGGCCGGCCGGGCGGAGGGTCCGGTGAGCGTGAGCAGACCCTCAACCAGATCCTGACCGAGATGGACGGCTTCGACGGAAACAGCGGCGTCCTCGTCCTCGCGGCGACCAACCGCGCAGACACGCTCGACCCGGCGCTGCTGCGGCCGGGCCGCTTCGACCGGCACATCCACGTTGGGCTACCAGACGTCGAGGGGCGGCGCGCCATTCTCGACGTGCACGTCAAGGACAAGCCGATGCAGACCGCCGTCGACCTCGGCCTCGTGGCGCGCCGAACGATCGGCTTCTCGGGCGCGTCGCTCGCCAACCTGATGAACGAGGCGGCGATCGTCGCCGCGCGCAAAGACAAGACGGAGATCGGGTACGGGGGGTCGACTACGCGCCTGTTGTCTTTCTTTTTTCTGACCCGCGTCGCGTCTCTAGGTACGAGGAGATCGACTACGCGATCGACCGCATCACCGTCGGCATGCAGAAGCAGTCCCGCGCCTCCTTCCCGGCGCGGCAGCGGCTGGTCGCCTGCCACGAGGCCGGGCACGCGGTGATGGGCGCGCTGACGCCGGACTACGACGCCGTCACAAAGGCGTGGCCAGCGCCCCCCCCTCCCCCCCCCCCCCCTTCCCGCGCCGCAGTGACCGTGGCGTGCACTGCTAGCGATTGGCTAGTGAGCGCGACGCGACCGCCGCCAGGTGACCATCGTGCCGCGCAGCAGCGGCGCCGGCGGCTTCACGCTCTTCACGCCGAGCGACGAGGCGCTCGAGACGGCGATGTACACGCTGGCGCACCTCAAGGCGAGCGGGAGTCATCTAGCTTTTGAATGAGAGGACTGGGCTCGTCCTCCCGGGACGAGAATGGACCTGTCACGCCGCCGCACCTCTCTAGGCGCGACTCGCCGTCGCGCTCGGCGGGCGCGTGGCGGAGGAGGTGAAGACGCCTCCGACAAACCTCTGACACGCCTCCGACACGCCTCCGACACGCCTCCGACACGCCTCCGACACGCCTCCGACACGCCTCCGACACTCCTCCAAGACACCCCCGAGAGACCTCCGAGACACTTGTGAGGGCCTCTCCCGCATCCCGTGGCGCGCCCACGGCACGTTCGCAGGTTGTGTACGGAGAGGACGAGGTGACGACGGGCGCGCGCAGCGACTTGCAGCGCGTCCGCGCGCTCGCACGGCAGATGGTCGCGCAGTGGGGCTTCGCTGCCGCCGCCTTGGGGGGCGGTCCGGTGGCGTGGGAGACGGAGGAGGGCAACGGACTACTCGCCCCGCGGACGGCGTCACCTGCGATGGAGGCTCGCACGCCTCCCAGCCACTTCGTGCCGTCTAGACGCGTCCGAGAAGAGATGCCTGCCGTGGAGGCTTCGAAAGAAGAAAGTCGTGCTCCATCCACCCCCTCACGCGGCCGCGCCACACTGTAGGCTCGGATCGACGCTGCGGTGCGGCGGCTGGTCGACGAGGCGTACGAGCACTGCCACGCCACACTCACGCGCAACCGCGCGCTCCTCGACGCGGTGACCGACAGCCTGGTGGAGAAGGAGACGCTCGGCGCAGACGAAATCGAGGTGCGGCCGAGACGCCGCCCGAGATGCATCTCAGCAGCGGGAGATCTCGGGAGATCTCGGGAGGCCGTGTGCTCCATCTCTGCCTTATCCCTCCGCGTCCCCTCAACCCTCCTCGCCAGGCTCTGCGGGTGGGACACGCTGTCGCTGCCGACGCGGGCGGCGCCGCTGGCCGCGCCAACGGACAGCGGGCGGACCGCATGCCGGCGCCGGCGCCGTGGCCGCAGCCGCGCCGGCGCAAGCCAGTGCGCGTCCGGTCCGAGGGAGGAGGGCCGGCGCCGGGCGCCGAGTATGGCATCTAGCGGCGTTTGGCAAGGGATGGGCGGGTGTATCCTCCTGTGGTCGAGTCCTGTACCCTGTCGCACGCGCCAAGCGCCCGGTTGCTTCCCCAGTCAGCGCCCGTCCTGGGACCTGGCTCGCAGCCGTAGTGTACGCAGAGCTGGATTGTTTGTGTGTAGAGTGTTGACGCCGTTGCTAGCTGCATCGAAAGTGCCTACAACGACATCGAAAAACGCATCACCTCAATGCTCAATCCTTTCAGACATCAGAGCCTCCTCGCTCCTGCACAAACTTGAAACTACTGCAGAGTGCAGTCTGCACCGTCGACCGTTGGTCCGTGCTAGCGACCGTGCCCGTACCGCCGTCCGCTGCGCGTGCGCAGCGGGTTTTTTGACCCTTGTCCGCTTCGGGCAAATGTGGCCGAGGGATCAGGGATCAACCGGTGTCCCTCAAGCTCAACCGGCGCCCGTTGCTAGCTGCATCAAGTGCCTAGACTATAGTCGAGCGCGTCGGAGAGGTGTTTCGACACCGAGTGCACCGAGTGTGTTGAACGTTTCTTACTAGAACGACACCTCAATCCTTTTGAGAGCCTCCTGCAAACTACTGCGAGTGCAGTCTGCACCGTGCCCGTACCGCCGTCCGCTGCGCGTGCGCAGCGGGTTTTTTTGGTCCCTTGTCCGCTCCGGGCAAGTGTGGGAAAAGTCCAACGCATTCGTCGGTGACGGTGTCCCTCAAGCTCAACCGGCGCCGCGCGAGACGAACCTCGACATTCGGGCCTTCGGCGGCATGCATGCATCTCTTTGCGACTGAAGCCTGGAGACTGGAGAGCAGCGCTCCTACTGGGGTTGGGGGTTTAGCGGTTAGCACCGTGCACAATTCGCCTGTCGTCACCGCCTTTCACCACAAGTGCATACCCGGGTATGACGTCTTTGGCCGTGCTCGAAGAAGGCGTCGAAGCATCATGAATGCGCTAAAGGTGGCCGGCGACAACACGGCAATTTACCTGGCGGCCGGCGTGTACCGCAATCACAGGTTTGGCTCTCGGGCGACGTTGGCAACCCCGCTGTGGCCACAGTCCAGAATGTGAAGAACATCTTAGCTTACTGCCGTGGACGGAGCGAGGCCGAGGATTGAGTTTTCGTCACCTGCTTGGAGGTGTGCGGCGTTGAGGTTGTCGGGCCCGGCGATTCCATCACAACTTTAAAGTGTGAGTGAGCGTGTGCGTGTCATCCTTGCGTCCCTAGGGTAACATCGCCTGTGTCCCTGCGCGTGCAGCTAGCTCCTTGCGTTCTGCCTTGCACTCGGCGTGTGATGAATATTCGTTTTGGCAGCGGCGCAGCGGTCGTGCGGCGGTCGCGCGGCCGTCGCGGAGAACTGACAAGTTGAAGAAGTTCTGCGCGTACATATAGTGGCCAGGCAGGCAGGCGCGGTGTTTCGCGCTCTGGTAGCCCGAGGAGTACATCTTCATGTGGCACGCCGGGCCTGCGCAGCCCCTGTTGTTGTTGCGGCAATCAAAGTGCCGTACGACACCGCATATCCACGGCAGGTAGACGGTGCCGTTGTCGGAGCGGCACACGTGTGTCCGGCGGATGGCCTCGCTGGCGCGGCAGTGCCGGAAGTGGCGCGATCCGCGATAACCGCACCCGTTGGCGGCGAGCTCCGCATCGACTGCCCCCCGGTATATGACCGGGCCAGTGACGTAGATCACGCACGTCGCCGGGGCATTGCACCTCGCCGGGTCGCCCTCCCTGTGCAGCAGCACCTGCCTCAGCACACCGGCCGTGATCATCTCCGCGGCGCGGAGGAGAAAGGGGTGCATCGGCTCGTATGCGAGCATCTCCGACGACCTGTGCGGATCCGCCGTAAAGTGAGTGGGCGGCAAGTGGACCTCCCCATGCTGCCGTTGCACGTGCACGTGCGCGTGAACGTGCACGTGCGTACGGATGGAATGCGAGATCGCAGGCTTGCTTGCGCACCAAAACCGACCGTTCACGGACGAAGCGCGTGGTGGGACGATGGTGCGGAGCGGAGCGAGCAGCTTCGCGTCGAGATCGGCGTAGACCCCACCGCGGTATTTGAGGAGTAGCATGCGCAGCAAGTCGGTTCTTTGTGCGCCGACGAGAAGCGAATCATAAGCCATGCTCTCGTTGCTCGTCGCGTGCTCCTGCACGAACTGCGCCGCCTCGCGGTCGTCCAGAAAGTCGTCTGCCGCAGCCAGACATGGTGGATGGTGTGTATTTGGCCGGCCAATTGGGCATGCATGTAAACGTGTGTATCTTGTGTGTGTGCACATCGGTACTCAGGGTTGAGTAGCCACCAGTCGCGCATGTAGTACCCAAACTCGCCAATCGCCTCCACCCAGCTCCTACCCACTTGCCAGATCTGCCGAGGGATGGCCTGGGCAGCCAAGCTGGCCGTTGGCTGCGGCATGCGGTGGTGCTGAGCATCAGGAACAGGCGGTCGCGGAATAATACTCAGGGAGCGGTTCCGTCGATGCCTCATTGAGGACGACCTGTGTGCGCGCCGCGCCAGTTCGCACGTCCGCGTGTAACTGTGTGGGGTACGTTTGACTGCACTCCAAGTGCTCCAAGTTTGTAGTTCACCGCGTGTATTCTACACGGAGAGAGAGAGACCGGGCGTTGACCGCACCGCGTACCCTCCCCACTCCCGCCTCTCATTTGTGTCACACCACGCGGAACGCATCTCCATCGCTTCGGTGAAGGGGGTGAACCGTGCGTGCCATCCTCGATCGCCGTGCAAAGCTCGCTTCCGAGCTCTCACGCCGCGCGTAGGGCCCTTAGAGGCCTAGAGAACACAACCCCCTCTCTCTTTTCTCCCAGTAAGCTAAAAGTACGTACACGGCAGTCACGTAACTTGAAGCACACACAAGTAATAATTCATCTTTTAGCACGCGAGACACGTGCCGGCTACGCTGCGGGCGCTTTCGAGGCGAGCGGCAGCATTTTTCTAGCCATAGTGTGCGGGAACTACTTTGCCGTTTGCGGGACGACAGCTAGTACTTACTGCACGACCCGGGGCGCGCAGCGCCGAAGAATTTTTTTGAAAAATGCACACAGTGGGGCGCTCCGAGACGACCAAAGTGGTAAAAGTCGCACTCTCCCCTGACCCGATCAAAAGCGTAAAAGCACCCGAGGCTCCAGAAACCTTACCCTCAGCCTATGCGCGGGTGGTTGATGCCGCCCCAGTTGTCCGGCACCACGTGGTCGATGTCAAACATCGTCTCCTTCCGGTTTCCGGCAAGGCCCTGCGAGACCGTCTTTGGCTGGTAGCCCTGCTTGCCGTCGCTGCGCGGCTCAAAGTACTCCTTGAGAGGGTGGTGTTTGAAGGTGCGCTCCAACATGGTGTAAAACTCCTTCTCGATCATGCGCTGCATCTTGCCGGTCGTGATCGTCTGCTTCAGGTTGGCGTACTCCGGCCGGTGGATGTCGCCGAGGTAGACGGGCGCCACCTCGATGTGCTCCCTCTCCTTAAACTGTTCAAGCTTCTCGTCCACCTTGAGCTTGGACTGCTGGTAAAGCGCCTTTGCCCCAGCGGCCTCGTCGCCGCCGTGCCTTGCCTTCTGCGCCGTCACCGCCATCTCCGCCTGCTCGAGCTTCTGCAGTCCCTCCGTGGCGGTGTAGTTGCTGACGTTGGCGTGCGCCGGCTCCGCGGCGGCAGCCTCGGCCGCAATCCGATCGCTCTCGACGCGCGCCGCCTCCGCGGCCGACTGGCAGCGCGAGCACGAGCAGGTCTTGCCGTCGCTCTTGCTCCGCTTGGGTGAGCAAAGCGCTTGAAGTGCTGCGGGTCGTTGAGACGGCACTTGCGGCATGGCCGCCCCCGTGGCGGCGGCCGTGGCGGCGGCCGTGGCGGCTGCGGCTGCGGCTGCGCCCGCTGCTGCGGCTGCGGCTGCAGCGGTCGGACGTCGTGGAGCCGGGCTACGAGATGCTTCCTCACCTCTGCGACGCTCGCGTTGGTTGCACCCGAGGGAAGCTTCACGCGCAATGGCAAGGCCTCACAGAGCTGCTTCAGGCTCTCCTTGCTGGCCTTCTCTAGCACCGTCTTTGGCTTCGCGAGCAGGTCGTCGACCCGTGCGGCCAACAGTGTTGGCGTGATTTCGTTCTATTTCCGCGGTTAGGTTAGGTTAGGACTTAGGTCCGCGGTAATAAACAAACAAAAAAGAATTTCACTGCGCTACCTGGCCTGCAAAAGGCCAGGGGCAGTGGCCAGTGCGCGCCAGTTTCGTGCCCTTTTACGTTCTGAAATTCTTTGTAGGTAGGTGGGTAGAAAGGTGAAAAACAGCCAGGCTCGGACTGGACACCAACCAACGCGGCATGGGTGGACGCTAGACAGATGATGACGACACGCACGAACAGACACAAACAGGCTCACAAGACCCGACGCGGCCAAAGGATATCCACCTCGAGAGAGAACAGTAGGTAGGTAGAAAGGTGAGAACACATCTTTGACTTCAGCAAAAGAAGAAAACCGGAAACAGCGCCGTTTAGGCGAGCAGCAGTTTGTGCGTGCGTTTACATGCGCCACCGCCGCCTCTCCAGCTTCGCCGCCGCCTGTGTCGCGACTCCTCGCACTCTGCGTCACGCCGCACGCCTCGCCACCGGCCGCGCTGCGCCCACATGGGGCTATGTGACCGACGTCGAGGGCGACACCGCCTTTTGGGAGAGCTACTGCCGCCTCTCGGCGGTCCTCGAGCCGGGCCGCGCGCTCGACGACCTAGCACTGCGGCCTGGATGCCACCTCGTCTTTGGCGGCGACAGCGTCGACAAGGGCGGCGGCGACCTGGCCTTTCTCGACAGCCTGCTCCGCCTCAAGCGCCGGCACCCGAGCCGCGTGCACCTGCTGCTCGGCAACCGCGACATCAACAAGATGCGCCTGACGGCCGAGCTGGCGCCGCCGCCCTCCGCGCTCTGGCTCCCCGCCGCCGCGCACCCGGGGGTGTACTGGCGCCGCTCGGGTGCGACGGCGACGCCTGCGGGCTGGCTGGCGGCGCAGGCCGCGCCTCTAGCCGACGAGCCTTCGAGCAGGCTGCGGTGGATGCTGAGCGACAACATGGGCTCGCCGCGCGCCTTCGAGCTCCGGAGGTCCGAGCTTGCGGCGGCGCGCGGCGTCGAGAGCGGCGCGCTGAGCGACCGCGACGTGCTGCGCAGCTTCGCCGGCTCGCTGGAGCGGGGCGGCGCGCTGCGCTCCTTCCTGCAAGCGGGCCAGCTCTGTGCGCTGATCGGCGGCACGCTCTTCGTGCACGGTGGCCTCAAGCCCGACGCGGTCGGGTCGGTGCCCGGCCGTGAGGGCGCGGGGGCGCGCGAGGGCGTGGTGGCGTGGGTGGAGGCGATGAACCGTTTCGCGGCTTCGGAGGTCGACGAGTGGTGCGCGGACGGCGACGCCGCCGCCGGGCCGACGTGGCCTGGGAGGGAGGACCGGCTCGGGCACGGCTTCTTCGACCGGCCGGGCGGGAGGCTGATGTCGTATGGCATGGCGAGCCAGCCTGGAGGCGCCAAGTCGCCGACGGCGAGCCCGCTGCCCTTCCGGGGGGCGCGCGGGAGGCGGGGCCAGACGTGACCAGACGCGGCGCGACTGGCTCTCAGGTGGTGTACGACTCCTTCCTGGAGGACGGCCAGCCCGCGCCCCCCGCGCCGGCGGTGGTGGCGTGGCTGCTGCGGCAGGGCGTTCACACACTCGTGTGCGGCCACCAGCCGCACGGGGATGCGCCCGTGCTGATGCGCTGCCGCGCGCCGCACGCCCAAGGCGAGCGCTCCCCAGCGCCCACTTCCGAGGCGCGCAACGCGTCACTCTGCCCGCTTGGCGGTAGGCGAGCTTGTCGTCGTGACTGCGGACACCTCCTTCAGCGACAGCGTCGAGTGGGTTGCGTCTCCGTCGGCGCCTCTGCCCGGGCAGAGCCAGCCGCCAGCCGGTCACCGACTCCAGCTGGCGGCGGAAGCGGCGGCGGCGGCGGCGGCGGCACCAGTGGCGACACCGGCCGGGGCGACGGCGGGTGTGCCGGGATCGGAGAAGCCACGCGGGGCGCCGCCGCCGGCGTCGGCGCGGCCGCGGGGCAGGGCGGTGGTCGAGGTGGCAGGGAGCCTCGAGGGCGACGAGGCGGCGCTGCGCGTGCACGGCACGCTGTCAGACGGCGGGAGCCTCGACTTTTCGCTGGGCGAGGAGCCCCGCGTGGGGACGCTGCGTGCGGACGGTTGGTGGGTCAAGGGCGTGGGCGGCGGCGGCGAGGCGGGCGGCAGTGGCGCGCTGCTGCTGTCGAGGGGGAAGGGTTACTGCGTCCAAAATTGCCGCGTGGCCCTCGCAGCGGCGGAGGCGGACGAGACAATGTAGGTGGTGCAGGCGTCTTGCGTCGCTTGCGGTCCACGACGTAGTGTGTGTGTTCATAGACCTTGTTATTGAGAAGACAGTAGTCAGTACCCTTTTGAGAGAGAGAGAGATTTAGGAAACCATGCTTTGCCATTTGAGTGCTGTGTGCAGTGTGGTGCCAGTCCATGCCAGTCTGCTGGTGCGAGACTGTCACCGTGTTGAACCGTGTCAGTTTGAGTGAGACTTGGAGCGCTGCGGAGTGCAGTCGTAACACCCAAACGCGAAAGGTCTTTTCTCGCAGCTGCGAGACATGCTTTCTCGGAGCGGGGCATCCAAAACAACAGGGGCGGAAGGGAGGGGTGACCATACGCGCAGCGCAGGAGGGGTGCCCCTAAGGGGGCACAAAGGTAGCTCAAAGGGGAGTGAACAAGACGCCGCACAGGCGACGTGCACGCTCGCCGCCTGCGCTCGCCGCGTCGCTCTCTCCCTCCCCTTCTTTGCTTGAAGGAGGGCGCCTGGGTCTAATTTTAGTGCGTGTGAATGAACTTTAGTGAATTTAGCGCAAATTTAGTACATATTTAGCACATATTTAGCACATATTTAGCACATATTTAGCACATATTTAGCACATATTTAGTGTGTTTTGTCTCCAATTTAGCGCCACATTTAGTTCACTTTAGGTGCGGGCAGCTGCAGTACATTTAGTGTGGGTCCCGCATCTTTAGTGCGGGCACGCAACTTTAGCACGGCTTCCCAGCCACACCACAGCTGGCCAGGGCCGCGTGCTTTGCTCCTTGGCTGCCAAGAATGCACCACAGGAGATGCCTGGCCCCTGCCCTCATGACCCAAAGGCAGGCTCCCAGTGAGGCTAGATATGCAGCCCTCCAGAGCAAGATCTCCCGACTTGCACAGGCACATAATCGATTCCCGAGAGGAGGACCAAAAACGCACGTCGTCCGGGTTTTGTCGTGTGCGTCGAGCGTGCGGGCGGAGAGGCGAGGCTGAGCCTGTGGCGAGAGCTAAGACAGAGCAGTGCGAGAGTTACACACGACACACACGACACGACAGGGACACAGACACAGACACAGACACACACTGCGCTCCCCTCAGTGGGTAGGGAGACGCGAACCCGACGGAGTCCGGTGGTGGGGGCCCACGCAGCCAGCCCCTGCGTTGCAAAGGTTGGTGCTGAGCCGCCGCCGCCGCTCGCTCTCGAAAAGCGTCGCGCTGCTGCCCGTTCCCGGAGCGACGAGCGCGAGTTTGGTGGCCAGGGCCTTGCCTGAAGGGGGGCGGGGCAAGGGGGGAGAAGATGAGGACGTCACCGAGCGGGGGCTGCCGGGAAGGTGGTGGGCGGGGCGTGGATGCACCTTAAACGGGCGAGTAGCGGGAAGACCGTCGATACTCCGGCGGAAGAGTGCTCCCCCGCCGCCCCCTGGGTCACCCCGAGTGACCTCGCAGCCCACGCCGTGAGGCGCTGCTGTCAGGGGAATGTTGGGGGCGCGCAAAGCCGCTCGGAAGAGACGGCCAGGAGCCAAGGAGCGGCCGGAGCGCGGCGAAAGACCGAGGGGAAGTGGCCGCCGCATACAGCCTCCGGCGGGCCTCCGGCGGACGCCTGCGGCGTGGCGCTGCGCGCGACCGGCCCCTTCTCGGTGCGCTGCAGGACGCCCTCGCTCAAACGCGCACCTGCCGGGTCGGGGCGGTCACGGGACCGGCTTAAATTGCGGCCGCAGCTGCTTGGGGGGGTGAGGATGGCCGGGCTTGAACGGCTTCTCGCGAGGTACCCGCATCGAGCTCTTCTCTTGCCGCACGGCTCTTCTGTGTGCCGGCACAGAGCTCCGTGCAAGCCTTCCAGCGTGATAGGAACGAGTGTATCGCTTTGACGGGTCGACCGTGCTTGTTATCAAGACCGATGTGACGTACACAGTGACACATCAGACGACATGTGTTCTCCCACCCGCCGGGACGCAAAACGCTCTCGACGAGAGCCAGAAGAAGGCGTCCACACAGCAAGCCGCTCGGTCGATCACGTTGCTCGCTCGATGCCGGCGAGCGCATGGCGCACGCCTTGGACGGTGGCGAAGCCAAAAACACCGATGGTGGCCGTCCGCTGGCGTGAGCGGCGGCGGTTGAGACCTCACCCTTCGCGCCGACGACCCAACCTCACGCGGAACAACCCAACCCAGGCCCACAACCCAACCCAACCCAAAAAGCACGATTCTCCTGTTGGGCCCTCAGCATGATTGCGCGCCACTGGGGAATGTTGCGATGGCCGCCCAAATGCGAACGCAGGAGACAAAATGCTTTGCGGCGACGTTCCGTGGGTAGGATCAAGTCGCCGCTTGCTTTAATAATAGTCTACGCGCGTCCTCGGGGCCAAGGCGCAGTCCAGCTGTCTGAGGGAGAGAGTCTCCCTCGCTGCGCGTTTCGAACGCAACCTGGCAGACGGAGTCGGGGCGCTCCCGCACGCGTGCCGGTGGGGAGCTCCGCTTGCCGCACGCCTGCTTTTCGCTGCACAAGCTTGTGCTGTGAATCCCCAGGGCCTCCAGGGCTCGCACCTCAACCTCTCACAGACCAGCGCACAGCGCCACAGGAGGTATTTTCTTCTGAAAAACAAGGCTGTGAACAGCGTCTCTTCTCGACAGATCTGACCGTTTCCAACACGCCCGACTCAGCGGTGAGCGCGCCGCAGCATTCTCTCCTGGCACTCCTCGCTCTCCCACCGGTAATAATCTCCCTTCCCGTGTGCCCCTATCGCGCTTGCAGGACACCACCACCTACCCGGGCCTGCCCACGCCGATGGCGGCGGGGAAGAGCGGGCCCGCGTCGGCCCGCAGCGGCTCCGGACCGGGCTACGTGGACGGCGTCGAGGCTGCAGTCCGCCGGCTGGGCGAGAGCGTCAGCTACCAGGCTACGCCCGCCGACGGCAAGAAGTCGCCGTCGCCGGGAGTCCCCACCTCCGGCGGCATTGCGCCCAAGCCCCTTGGCGCGGTCGCGGGCGCGGGGCTGGCTGAGGCC